AACGGGCGAGGGCGTGGTCATTGCGGCACTGAGCTGGCTTTTGAGACTGGCGCATGCCGCAGTTTTTTTTATCTATACCCTGTAAACACAGCAACAAATGAGAAGGCTATTTGAGAGTGTTGTACATAGAGTATAGAGTATAGAGTATAGAGTATAGAGTATAGAGTATAGAGTAGTAGAGTATAGAGTATAGAGTATAGAGTATAGAGTATAGAGTATAGAGTATAGAGTATAGAGTATAGAGTATAGAGTATAGAGTATAGAGTATAGAGTATAGAGTATAGAGTATAGAGTATAGAGTATAGAGTATAGAGTATAGAGTATAGAGTATAGAGTATAGAGTATAGAGTATAGAGTATAGAGTCTAGAGTATAGAGTATAGAGTAATATAGCGTATAGAGTATAGAGTATCGAGTATAGAGTATAGAGTATACGAGTATAGCGTCTAGCGTCGAGTCTCGCGTATCAGTAGCGTCAGCGTCTCGCGTCTAGCGTCTCGCGTCTAGAGTCTCGCGCGTCGCGTATCGCGTCTCGCGTCGCGTCTCGCGTATCGCGTCTCGCGTCGCGTCGCGTCTCGCGTCTCGGTCTCGCTCAGCGTCTCGCGTCTCGCGTCTCGCGTCGCGCGTCTCGCGTCTCGCGTCCGCGTCTCGCGTCTCGCGTCTCGCGTCTCGTCTCGAGTATAGAGTATAGAGTATAGAGTATAGAGTATAGAGTATAGAGTATAGAGTATAGAGTATAGAGTATAGAGTATAGAGTATAGAGTATAGAGTATAGAGTATAGAGTATAGAGTATAGAGTATAGAGTATAGAGTATAGAGTATAGAGTATAGAGTATAGAGTATAGAGTATAGAGTATAGAGTATAGAGTATCGAGTATAGAGTATAGAGTATAGAGTATAGAGTATAGAGTATAGAGTATAGAGTATAGAGTATAGAGTAGAGTATAGAGTATAGAGTATAGAGTATAGAGTATAGAGTATAGAGTATAGAGTATAGAGTATAGAGTATAGAGTATAGAGTATAGAGTATAGAGTATAGAGTATAGAGTATAGAAGTATAGAGTATAGAGTATAGAGTATAGAGTATAGAGTATAGAGTATAGAGTATAGAGTATAGAGTATAGAGTATAGAGTATAGAGTATAGAGTATAGAGTATAGAGTATAGAGTATAGAGCTCAACGAAATTTGCAGTACAATCAAATACGAAGCACAAAAACTACTTAGGTACAATTTCTTACAGGATATCTTTAAGTTGCGCATTCTCCGCTACTTTAAACATTCATTTGTGATTGCCTACACTGCCCACTAATTAAATGAGTTGAGAGCGTGAAAAAGTCGCATGTTGCGCATGTTGCATCATTCAAAGCTGAAGTCGAACTAACTGCAACTCATGGTGCAACGCCATGACCTAGGCATTGTTTGTGGCATGTGGTATGTAAATGTTGCGGCTAACGGTGCTTTAGCAGCATCATTAAAGCCAAGCCGGAATTGTATTCTTAAGATATCGAAATTTTATGATATTTGGTCTTGATTTGCTTCCCATTAGCGCCTTTTGATCTGAACTTGATTCTTAGCTGATTCTCTGGAGCTTAGAAAGCGTGTAAATTAAATGCCAGCGAAAGTTTTTCCAACCTTTTTGTTTTCTTCGCTTATTTTCTTTTTCTTTTGTTATTATTATTCCTATGCAAATTAGCTGAGCCAAACTTAACATCTTCATTTTTGTGTCGCAATGCCACAATAATGAGTTTTGGCTTTTATATATATAATATTTGTTTTTTTTTGTGGGCAAAAATATTTTAACAATGTGTTAATTACACACGGTCAAAAAAGAATACGAGAAAACCCCGTATGAACAAATCTGTGCTTAATCGTTAATTTATGATATTTCTAGCGGTAAAAGACGTCAAGCAATCAGCCCGAATGCTGATTCCCAGTTGGCCAGTGGCAACAGCTCGCGGCTTGCCGCTTCGCTGATTCATCAACAACAGCTAAAGCCGAGACTGAAGCTGAGGCTGAGTCCGAGTCTGTGTCTGAGAATCATGGCCAGATCATAAAGTTCGGTTAATGTGCATGTTACGAATGGGAGCTGCAATAAGTTGGGCATTCATTTGATGGACACTGACGAATATCCATAAAATGAATAAGTGTGCATTAGCTGAGCTCATGAAATATGCAGAAATATTCTTTCAAACTTGCCTCTTGCCTTTTACATACGCTCTTAAGCAAAGCATTATTATACCTTTCCTTATCCAATTTGATTAGGCATCGTTTATAGCTAATTATATCTTTTGCGACCTTGTAAGTTTTTCAAGTCAACTTTACGTCACATTAAGGAGAAAGGCAGTTCGTATGAGTGGCACCCATTTCAATTAAGCTGAGCAATCAAAATAACTTGGCTGCCAATCGAAGAGTCCGCGTCTCTTTCTTTCTCACCGCATAAATCCCAGATTGCGAGACATTTAGCGCATTTCTAAAGCTTTAAACGGCATCAAAGCGTTGCAAGCGCGCTTTGCTCTGCGATACTTCTCTATATGTGACGATCAATTCAATTAAGCACAAAAGTCTCGGGTTGCCTCGGGCTATGGAGATGATGCCGTGTATACCGGGGCTATTACAGCGCGACAGGAACGACCTATCTTTCAGATTTTTATTGATAAAAGTCTTTTTATTAAATTTGTATCGATATATTTTATAAGAAATTACGATTTATTTATCGATTATCTTTGAAGTTTGCTATCTGATTTGTGCTTAAAATCGTGCTGGTCGTTCTTATTTTATAACAGACTATAAAGTTTAGACGGAAACTATTATAGTTATGCACACTCTAAGTAGATAAAGTTTTAATTTGTTACTTGAATATTCTCTATAAATTCTTCAATTCCAACCTGCTCGATAAATATCGATATCCAGTACAGGCACATTAACTTTTTTTTAGAGATTTGTATGAAGAGCTTAATTATTCCCAAAATGGATGAATATCGACTAACAGTTCCGATATTTATCGATAAATTGTAATATACGACCATAATCGATAAGATATCGATATTGTTAGTTAAGCATAAATCATAATATTTAAAACTTTTTCACAAATAGCTTTGAGTCAAAAATATAAAAAGATAATTAAGTATGAATTTTCCATGAAAAGTTGCTAACTAAATAATAAGCACGGGCTTTCACAAAAGAAAACACTTCACGTGGCCATCTCTAATGGGTAATTAGGCGCTGGTTAGCTGGTGAAGGTACGCAGAAGACCTAAACCCAAATCTAATGCAACTAAATAACTAACGCATTTTTTCTCAATGCAACCTGTTGACGGTTGTTGTTGTTGCTGGTGCTGGATTTGCGGATTATGTGTTTGTGTGTCACGTAGAGCGTGCAACGCCGCGGTACGTGCAACTCGCTCAACCTGTCGATAGTCGTCTGATATTGCATCGGCAATTGGAGGAGCCAGAGGATGGTCAATGTGTGTCGTCTCCATCAACTGGTACGTTTCCCATCTACGACAGCGGCTCGCGAATTGCCAATTGGCAATGGCCAATCGCAGCCATAAATTATGTCGTTGTTGCCGTTGTTGTAGCTGTAGCTCCAGCTGTAGCTGGAGTCGCCTCCGTATCATCATCATCATATATGTGCTGCTTAGCCTAGGCGCACATCAAAATTTATAGGTCAGTGGTGGCAACAAATTGCCAAGCGTTGAGGCGCTTTTCCGATTTTTCCTTCTATTTTTTTTTTCGGAGTTTTTGTGTGGGCCGAGTTTGGTCCATGCGATGATGGAATGTGAGAAGCTGCCCTCAGACATGACCGTGATCTGGACATGTGCATTGAATTGTTCCCCCAGTTCCCACCAGTTTCCCAGTGCTCTCCGCTGACAGCATGTCCAATATTTTTTTTGTGTGCTGTTACCAAAACTGACCCACTCAGCGGCAAAAGAGGTTTTCATCGATTGTCCCAGGCGCACCGCAGCAACTGTTGCTGCTAGCGAGCGAGCAGCGGCCTGCTGTTGTCGTTGCCAACATTATGACAATCGATTTGCAATGCCAAAGCCAATGCCTGAAGGCGCTCCATTTATAACAAGTGGCCACATTGACTGCCAGCCAGCCAGCCTCCTCTCTAGCAATAGATAACTTTATACGCTCCAATCTCGAGTGTACTTTTCTATACCCTTCTAGAGGGTATTATCAATATGCCATCAAATGTGTAAGGCACTGCCGAAATCCTTATAAAATCGAATGATCTGTGTAGTTTGCCTAGGTTATAATCAACTGACTTCTTTAAACCACATTTATCTATCCATCTGTATAGTTGTTCTAGGAGAACTAGACTCTGCTACAAGATATGTCGATGAAGTTCGGTTCAGATGCTGCTTTTAGGCACACAAACCATCATCATAAAATTAAATTTTGTTGACACATTTTTTGTTTGTTTTTATGACAAATTTGTAAAATTTTTGTAAAATCATTCATCTATGCTGAATATTCTTTGAACAAATGTATATATGTATACATATGATGATATAGATCGCGATCTGATTTGTATAGCATGCAAGCATTGTCTACAGCTCGGCTAGGGTATTTGAACTTTGGCATATTTGTGGATTGGACTTTTTGTGCTTTTGCTGCTGCTGTTGCTGTTGTCGTCGTTTGCTGTTGTCGCTGTCAGTTGTTGTTGGTTGGTCGCTTGTTGCCGCTTGTTGCTGGCTTTCAGAGTCAAGTTGTACCAATAATTCTGCATTTGACATTCAACGGACCTGCACTTCTTTTTTTCTTCTTCTTTCTTTTCTAGCTGTGTGCCATTTTCGGCCAAAACGGTTTCTTAAGCTGTCTAATAGCCCCATGTCCCCCGCTACACTTAAGCCGCCCCTCGACGGCCATTGTCTTGGCCTTTGATATGCGCATAAGTTTTGTGGGAAAGCTCAAAGCTAATTAAGCGGAAAATGTTGAAATGGGCAATTGCTTTATGACCAAACTGGGCAGCTTTTTGACCAGTCCAACTGCACTTACCTTATTATCCTTGTTGTTGTTGCCGCCGTTGAGCTTCTGCTGGTAGTACTCCTCGCGCGCATGCGTATTGAGGCTGTCTATCAGCGCCGAGGCATTCACATGCGCATCATAGACCATGGCATCCGGGGAGGCGCCGCCGCTGTTGCTGCTGCTGCTGTAGGTGGCAGCTGCTGCTGGTGTTGCTGCTGCTGCCGCTGCTGCTGAGGAGCTGCCAGCTGCTGCTAGCGGTATATTTGCCTGCGGCGTGCGCGTGTACAGCTGCTCCAGCGGCAGCGCTGGCGCCTGTGAGTTGACAGTTGTCATGGTCGCCGGATTGGCTGAGCTGGCCGCGGTCACCTTCTGCTGTTGCTGCTGCTGCTGCTTGGTGGCGCCCAGCTTCTGTTGCAGCTTTTGCTTGTTGGCAGCTGTTGTTGCCGAGCTGGGCGGCGGCTTGGATTGTGCTGCTGCATTTGCGGCCGCGGCGCTGACGCTGCTCGGACGCTGCGGACCGCGCTTCAGGGCGGCGGTCACCTTGTGCCCAAAGGGTCGCTTGGTCGGACGCAGCTTGTGCTTGCCCTGGGTGCTCAAGGTGCGTTGATTGCCGGCGCTGCTGCTGGTGGTGCTGCTGGTGCCTGGCTCTGCATCGGCAGCTGTAATTGCTGCAATATTATTGTTGGAACGCGCCGCCACAAACTGATCATCCGCATCGGTGGCATCGGTGAGCGCATTGTCGCTCGTTGTGGACTGCTCCAGCTCCGACTCGGCGCTGTCATCTTCCGTTGCCTGACTGTTGTCCTGGCTGTCTCCGGCGAGTGTAGTCAATGCGGGCGCCGTAGTCTCACCTGTCGCCAGCTCGTTGCTGTTGGTCTGCGCATCCAGGCTGACATCTGTTGTCGTCGGCAGCTCCTTCATCAGCATTGTTTGCGCCGTCACCTCGGCCTGCAGCGCTGCCTGCTCGTTCATTGTGTTCTGCAGCTCCAGCAGCGTTGTCTCATCCAGCAGCAGTGTGGGATCCGTTTCGGTCTCGGTGTAACCTGTCGTGGGCAGTGTGCTCTGCTCCGCCTCCTCCGTGGACAGTTGTTGAGTGCTGCTGCTGCTGCTGCTGCGCGCTGAGGTGGCCTCCTGCTGTATCAGCTGCTGCTCCTCAATGTCCAGCGTTTCCTTGAGTCGCGCCACACGCTCCACAATCCGCGCCAGCATGTCCTTCTGCTGCTCCGGCAAATTCTTGGTATCCAGCTCCAGCAAACGATCATATTTCTTCATGTTACGCTTCACGGTTTCAATATCGGCGCGCGTCTTCGAAGCGGGCGGCGTCAATGTCGGATACGTGGGACTCTCCATAAAGTGGGTGCGCGCCCGCCTATTGCTATAACCCACCAGCTCAATAACGCCGGGATACTCGGCCTCGATGGCAGCGGGCAGCGCACAGAGCGTGGCAATAAGCGCCAAGGCGCAGCTCCAGGCTGCACTTAGCGCCATCTTCTGCTCGAAGGGGGGGTTGGTGGTTTGGTGGTGCTAGGAACACGAACACACACTCACACACGCACTTTTGGGTGGGCACTGGCTACGATTCGGCTGGCAACTGGTACTCAAAAAAGTGGAACTAGCACTCGCGTTTGTTTTTCTTTTATATCCAGTTTTATGTTTTATTATTATTATTTTTATTTATTCTTTTTTATTTTATTTTGGCCAACACGCATTCGTAGCTCGTATTAGTGTCAACTAACTGTAACTGGCTGCACACTGCACGACTCTAAATACAAGATTCAAGTCCAAGTCCAAGCTGGTCAGGAGTCAGCTACTCGTCTCTGGCTTGGCGGCCAGCTTTTCTATGGGAAACACTTGTGTATTTACTTTTTTCTTGTTTGTGTATTTTTATTTTATTATTTTTTTTTCTGCTGCTCCGATCGCAGTTGCGCTGTCTTCTAACGTCTTGGTACAAATGTTTCAGGCCGCGTTGCCGCAGCGTCTTTTAAAAATTTTCAACCGGAAAACGCAGTCGCTGTCGCTGTCGCTGCTGACGTCAGCGTCACGTCGCGTTGCTGCAGAGACTTTTCTCCCAGCTTTTTGCAGACCGGTTTGCAGTCGCGAGACAGTGGCCCAGCTACAGAAAGATACATTTTTAACAGTTCAAATGCCTTAGAAACTATAACAAATAAATGCCAGAATATTTAGGTTTATTTATTAAATTATTCATTTATAATTAATATTTATGTCTCGCTCATTGTTCTCCAAATAGCAGCAGCAGATTTTAAGGCCAAAGAACAGCTTAACATATCTATCTAAACTTGAATTGGGCGCGCAGCTGTTGGCTTAACAGCGGCTGTTAAGACGCTGTTAGGCGTCAAACATGTTGCATTGTTGAATTGTTGAAACGCTGTTGGGCCTCAAGCGTTAGCTGCTAACTGCCAAATTTTGGCTTTACCTTCGCTTAATGTGCAATATGTTGAGTTCTTTCGACTGTTTGACAGCTGATCAAGTTGTCTATTAAATTCCATGTGGCCCCCTGCGAAGAGGGGGCACGTTCAATTAGTCATTCCAGGCATGCTGCCGCTCGACTAGATTCTTTGCATTTTGGCCTGGTTCTTAGCTTTCGCTTCAATGTCAACGCCGCATCGTTTAGCCTGTCATCGATGTGCTCTATAAAAAGATAGAAAAGTTTTTGGTTTCTTTGGACTGTCGACTCACAAATACTCTTGAAGTTGTGCAACGTATTTCTAAAATAAGCTCAATGTTAACTAAGTAAGTCTTACAAAGATTTTGCTTATCTCTTATTGGAATGTTATGAAGAAAACAATAGATTCTGATTATTGAACGATATTTTATATATTTGAAAGTTTTGTCTACTTTAATGCGTTACACATTTGCCAACAAATTGAAAATACCCTGTGCAGGGTAAGAAAATTAGTAGCCGCTGCCAACAGGTAAAACCTGACGCCCAGACACCTAGCTGGGAATTTAGTTGGGGCCTTTAGTCGGTTTCAATTTAGCTAAATGACAACATTTAATATAATTTGTCGCGTGTGCTCTCGCTTGAAATTAATTGGAGCTGTCTCTCTCTCTTTCTCTCAATCTCTCTATATCTCTCTTTCCGTTCCCCCTTCGATCGAGCTCGCTGCGGCCCTGCGCTCGAACGTGCTGCGGCTGCTAATGATCTCTATAGATTTCCATTTCTAGCGGCCTTTCTCATAAATATGCATCCACATATATATACACATATATATATAGACTATATATATAAAGCTTTGCCATTGAAATTTCTACAGCGCCATGGGAACGCCGGCAGCCAATAAAACAATAACCGAACGGAACGAGCCCTGGCCCCCAGGCCGGACTCGGCCCGGAGCACGGGGTGCCCCCCACTGGGTAGCATAGCCACGCGGGCTCATTTTTCACGTAGCCTCGCAATAAAAGAAACCGAGCGTTAATTAAAAAAAATGGACATAGATCAATGCACCTGATAGATGAGGCGGCTCCGTTGTGCTGCCCACAGGCTGAACTGCAAAAATAATTTCCTGAGCAGCAGCAGCAGCAACACAAGTTTTAGGCCCTAATTGAGCCACGCCCCATCCGGGCTACTTAGTGCATGCATTTGACAAGTCCTTAGGCGCTTCATTAGCCACATGGAAGACCCGTTCTGATCGCATTGACACACATGCAAATCGTGGGTGCTGTTGCTGCCGTTGTGAGTGGGTGAGCGGCAACAGTTGCTGCTGCGTGGCCAAAATAAAAAAAAAAAAAAATAGTTGCAACCGGGCAACTTTCTTCGGCTTATCTTTATGCATATGCAACGCAATGGCGGCGTCTGCATTCTTTTGTGCCAAGACGGCATAAAATATGCGAGCGTCGCGACGCGATCATCTGCCAACAGCAGCAACAGCAACAGCAACAGCAACAGCAACAGCAGCAGCAGCAACAACTGCAACTCTTGAACTTTACCAGCAATGAAAAGCTTGGCAGTGGCCCTTTTAGCCAGCGACTGTTTAGCATTTGCAGCCAAGAGCAAATTTTGCATAGACAGACTTGATGAAAAGACAGAGACAGAGAGCAACAGTAAGAGAGAGACGGAGAGAGAGAGAGAGAGAGAGAGAGCCAAAGCCAAAGCGAGAGAAAGAGATGCTGCACGAAGTTGCTGCTGCTCAAGTGCCAATGGCAATCTGCTTTTTATGCCCAGCACCCATTGAAACTGAATGTTAAGGGGTATAATGTAGTTAGGAAAATATATGCAACAGGCAGAAAGAGACAGCTTCAAATCCATAAAGTACAAATCCATAAATATAATAATATGTATATTCTGGAATAGGAGAACGAGCTTATTCGAGTTGGATATGTTAGATTAGATAGATTCTCCTTTTTCCTAGCTTCGATAAGTATCGATTTACACATTGAAGAGGTGGAAACTGAAAACGCGGCTTCGATAAATATCGATTTATAGAATTATGTTATTTTTTAGAACTTATCTGAGATTATTGCTGCTAGACGCAGAAAATTATCAAGCTTATTTCCAACTATCGATTACTCTTTCCTCTTTTCTATTTCGATATATTTATATCGATATTTTTGTTTTTTTCGAAAACACTTTTAAGTATTCACAAGGCAAATATACAAAATACGGAATGTTGGTTTGCGTAAAGCTTATACAGGGAATGTTTTACTTCTTGGATACTCTGCCCTACTCTATTTCAAAGTGTTTTAGATCTAGACTTAATTTTTGGCTATACACAATCTTGATGTCATCTAATAATATGAATATTTGTAGTTTCAAAATACGATTTTGAGTTCAGAAGAAGCACAGCTACTGCATATAGAAGTAGGTATGACGGGCTGAGTCTAGGGTATCTGTTGGCCGGACAATCTCGACTAGAGCACTCTTACTTGTAGCTATTGTGGTTCGTTTTGCTGCTGTTGTTGTTGTTTCCTGGGCAACTGCTTTTTCTGCTGTTGTTGTTGTTGCTCCTGCTGCTGTTGTTGCTGTTGTTGTTGTTTATTTCCCTGCAGTTTGATCTTTTGGTCTTTGGCGGTAATTTTTGTTGCCGCAGCGGCGTCTGCACTTTTTCCTAGCAATTGTTGCTGCTGCTGCAAACGATCTATTGGCTTTCAGTTGCTTTTGTAGCTGCTGTTGCTGTTGCTGCTGCTGTTGCTGTTGTTGTTTTCTACTCGCCTGCCTTTTGCATTGAAATTCTTATTTCTATTTTCGCTTTATCTGCAGGTTTTGTCTTCATTTTTATTTTAATAGTGCAAATGATTCCACTCTTTTGCAAATTGCTGCTGATTTTTTAGCCAGCGATAAAATGCCTGGCTGCAACTTCTTCTTTTTGCCCCGCTGCTCTCTCCCTTTCTCTGTCTCTGTCTCTGGTGTTCGCCTGTGTGCAGTTCCCATTGCGCCTTCTCTTTATCACATAATGATTTCAAATAGTTACCACTTTGGTGCTGGGTGCGAAATTAATTTGAATTATTACTATTATTAGATGTTATTTGTGTAATGCGGCGGTAGATAGCGCTTGCCCAAGTACAGTTAGAGCGGAGATGTTGCTGCCGTTGCCACGGCATGTTGCTGCCGTGCATTATGCAAGATTTCAAACGTTATCCGCAGCAAATGCAGCACAAAAGAGCTGCAGCAAATTTGGTGATAAGCCACAAGCTGCACATCTGCAACAGTTGCCATTGCCATTACATTTACTGGCAACAGCAGCAGCAACAATTGCTGCCTGCGCTGCATAACTTGTGTCTGCTTCAATTACCAATTGTTGTTGCCGTTTAAATGATTGCATTGTTGGCCACATTTAAATTTATTAAAACTGCGCAGCTTCTAACGGGCAGCAACTTGGAATGTTGCTGTTGTCGTTGTTGCTGCTGCTGCTGTTGCTGCCGTTCAATGACCGTGCAACACTTTATCTTCTGACGCATGGCCTTGTGCGGCATTTGGCATACCGACCACAATTAAGTCCACAAACAGTGTAATATGTCTGCCTGTGATTCGCATCCTGCAAACGCGCCGAGTTCGATTCTCAGCAATTTTTCTTGCACATTTTCTCATTTTGCATGCAATTTGATGCCATTTGTCATTTGCTTAATTGTGACCAAGTGCTTGTTGCATTTCCTGCTGCTGCTACTGCTGTTGCTGCTGCTGCAGCCAACTGCCGTTTTTGTAATTGTTGCAAGGCACGCAGCTGCGGCAGCATCCTCGGGTACGAGTTCAACTCTGCCGCTGGGCCATTTAGTTTCAATTAATCAAGTTGTCGCTGGCCGCGTCTATTAGCTGTTTATGATGTCTGCCACAGTTCCTCAGGGGGCGTCCAATTGCCGCTTGGCGCTCATTAGCGGCGCCCCCGAGTTGCATACGCTGTGTGCCGTACCCGTCCCCGTTTTTCTGTTATTAAATACTCTCGTGGCAGTTGCCGCTACTGCCTGCCGGTGCTTTACCTTGCTCTTTTGGATTGCTTTTTTTTGGGCCTCTTTTGTAACATGTGAAGTTCTTT